CGACGTCAAGCTGGCCATCTTGGCTATGCCCACCTGTTCCCCAAGATCAAACACAACCCTGATGCAGCCCACAATAAAATCAAATGACATCCCTGAAATAAATGGATCGCTACTGTAACTGCCAGCTATAACTGTTATTGTTGTAACAATAATGCTCTTCATTATTTTAATTGTCGCAGATGTTTTTATTCATATTTATGTAGTGATAAACTCTGTAATAGCTTCGATTTTAAAGAAAAAAATTTCTATGGTTTGCAATGATGCTTCCACATTTATTTATTTATTTGTTTGTTTATTTGTTTATTTGTTTGTACGATTTATAGGCCGCCCAATTCTGGAGGACTCCGGGCGGCTTACAACAAAAGAAAAAAATAATAATAATAAAAAATGAAAATAAAAACAGGTTAAAATCCATACACATACATTCGTTATGATCGGGGCTGGACCTCAACAATGAGGTCAACAGCCCCAGGCCTGCCGGAATAGCCAGGTTTTAACAGCTTATTCCTTTCATTAATTTTTTAAAAATCAAAAACACCTTAAAATAATCCTTTTCAGATCACTCAGGTGCTTCCCTCTCATGCACTAATTGATTAAGCATGAATAAGGTCAGCTACGTTGCATATTATGGCTGTTTTAAGGAAATTAATTTCTAAGCAAGACTATTTTGAAAGTTTGATTACACCTTTCAGATATCTTAATTTTGCTTTATGGCTTCTAGCAAATCAAATTGAGTATATTACTAAATGGTGCCCTTTTATTTTCCAGTCCACCGAAACCAACTGTGTTTATTTCTGGTGTAATTGCAAGGGTAAGTCCTAATTTTCAACTTTTCATTGTGAAAATATGAATTGCAAATGTCTGCTACATTTTTTTAATCAATGATTTTCCTAACCAAGGATGTTGTTTTTGTTATACCAGATAACAGAATTCAGTTGTGTAATTCCCATTATCTTGGAAAAGAAAAATGCTTGTTTATTTAGGCTTTTTAATAGGATGTGAATTACCTCATGAGTTACATATTTAAAAATACTATGAGTTGAACTGTAACTCGCTTTTTTGTTTTTTACAATTTCAATCTCGCCTGTCTTTGTAAATGTTGCCAGGGCAATATATGTCATTAAAACATTAATAGAATTCATAGAAAAATGGCAGCAATACAATTATCAGTTTTACAGTTAAAGTTGGAAAATGAAAAGTAAAAATATGCATATTGGAACATGAAGGAAAATAGCTTGTATTCTTCAAAATTTAGCTTGATATCCTGGAGAGTTGGAAAATTTCTAGCCTAGGATGTGAAACTAATAGAAATAATGCCTAAAGGTATATTTTGGAAAATAGGGAGTTCTTTCCCAGGCACTGAAAATATAACAAAGTGAATTATAGGAGAACTTTTTTTCAAAAATGAGTGCAGTAGCATCTTCTGGTCCCCTAAATCTGTTACATCCTTAGAGCATAAGGATATTGATTGAAAAGGCTTAGGCTCATGAAAAACACACCAAACATCAGAAATGTACCAGAAACAGACAAATTGCATTAGATTGTACAAATAACTTTTTCACATAACTACTAAGCAAATAAAAATTCTGAAAGAAATGGATTTTTCTTGCTTACAATATACCTATGCCTGGCTAAAAAATCATATACTAGCTTTTTAAGTTATACTTCATTTATTTCAATGTATTTACTTCAAATGCAATCAGATGTGTAACCGCTATAAGAGGGTCATTTCATTTTTAAAAAAAATAAAGCTTCAGTTTCAGGTGCAAATAATAAGCACACTTCAATTTCGATTTGTGTTTCAAAAAGCCTAGTACATTGGAAGTTCAGTGTTCAATATCTGAAAAGACTTCACTGAATGTTATAGA